TATTGTGTTCCTCTCAACAGGGTCAATAAGATTAAATCTTTTTGGATCCTTCTTTGGGTTGAAATTCCCCAATCCCCTCCCAACCTCAAAGAAATTAAACCCGTGAAGATGAACTGGATGGTTTTCAGGGGCAATCATCCCAGTGTCTTGCAACACAAGCTGCACTGTAGAGTTATAAGCAAGTCTATAAAGCCTAGTCCCCTTCATGGTCTGCATATTCGTCGGCTGTGGACCCGTATAATTATAAGGATTCAGAGGGTTTCCGGGAAAATCATCGGTAAAAACTCCACTTATGTTGAAGAAATGTGCTTGAAGAAGTGAGATTTTGGGCATCACAAATGTGACATTATTGATATCTGCCACCAGTCTGTTGCCATTGGCACATGAAGCACAAGTGTGAAGGCCAAGGCCAACAGTGAACAAAAGAGAGTGGTCAATTTTCAATGGAACCCTAGCAGGAAACTTGACTGAATTCAGGCTTCTGAGGGAATTTGTAAACTTTGTTGCAACTAGTGTGGCATTTTGAGGAGGTGGGGCTGTGAGGGTGGTCCTAGTGCTTTCGAGGGTGCCCATATAGTGCAAAGTAGCAGTGGCAGTTTTGTTGTCTACAAGGATGGTTGGATTGTCCATGAAAGGTGAGGCTGCGACCAAGTACTTGCCTGTGCCATGGTTGGTTGATAGAAGAACGTTTGTGGTCTGCCCTGGGGCTATCAGAACGGTATCAGTTTTGAAGGGTTTTGTGTACACAGCATCAACCTCAACCACGGTTAGTTTGTGGTTGGCAATCTTGAAGAAGAGCTCTTCATTGAGCGCAGCATTGATGATTCTTAGCATGTATGTCTTGCCAGGTCTTACTGGTAATTTAAACCCTCCTGCACATATGCACATCATGTTTAAATTTGGTGATAATTGGTCAAAACACAATGTGACAGTTGATGTGTCAGTTACTTAATGAGATTAATTGATCCGCATCATCAACTGTCACATTATATGATTAACTAATATGTCATTCTTGTACACGTATGTGTATTTACCTTGTGAGGAACAGGTAGAGAGAGGGCCCGGATGACCATTAATTGTGTGAGCATCAGAGACATTCGGGGCTGAACCAGATTTCAAAGCCTGATTAATAACAGATTCCACATCTGATTTCCACCATTCACCTACAAGTTTACAATAATCATGAGCAATCTTACAATACTTGATGGATTATGAGAAATATGATAGGGTACTTGGATCATGGAGGCACCTAAGATTACAACGACTTCTTTTTGGGGTGCAGGAAATGGGTATGGGACCCCAAGCTTGGGTAAGATGACCAAGGCGCCATGGACTGTGGCCCTGAGCCATAGGATGTGTGCATGCCACCAAAGTGTGCCCCTTTGCCCAGTGACGGTGAAGTTGTACACATAGTTTTGACCCGGTTGAATTGGACATTGGGTTATGTACGCCGGCCCATCAGCCCAACCCGTCCGCAGTTGTCGGATTCCATGCCTTTTTACGGAAATATTATTATTAGAAATAATAAAATAAATACTGAAAAATATAATAATACTAAGTAATGACGATTATTAACAATTGAAAACTCATATTTATCTATAGGAGTGAAAGCGGGAGACATTACCAATGGATGCTAACATTGTATTTGACGTGGTTGACCACCTTGATCAGCACTGTGTCATCTTCCCTAGCATATATGGTGGGCCCAGGGTACCTTCCATTGACTGTGACAATGGGCTTGCTTGAACATAATCTTGAGGTTTTCTTTTGCACCACCTACGAAACCCACAGGCGGTTGAGTCGAGTTCTTTTGCACACATGTTTTCATCAAGTCAAAACTGTGACAACACTTTCTCAAGTTTGGTGGCTTCCTCAACCACATCCCTCACGCTTTTCTGTTTGATTAAGTTTTGCTTATTTATATATAACAAGCCAATTATTATTTCTTTTAAAAATATTCTTTGGATTATGTTTAGATTTAAATCTTGGGGTTTTGAGGAATTAACCCTATGCCAATTTTATCTATCTTCAACTTTTTTCAAACTCTTTAGATATTGACGACTTGAATGGTTGAACATTTGGTTGCTGTGTCTGTGTGAGAGACAAGCTGAGTTTAGGCAAGTTTTTATCAACATCAAGAGTAATTAAGAAAAGCAAAGGACGTACTAGTGTAGTGATTTGGAATAATTGCTTCCTCATGTAAAGTTCCGGATTCGAGTCTTAGTATCTGTGTAGTACGTGTATGTGTGAGCACTAGTGTACCGTGTTGCTCCTTGGAGAAGCCTTAATTTTCTTGTGCTAGTGGCTTATGGATAATGTAATATAATTATGATCATACAAAAACTCATAATTTAAAACTCGCAAAAAAGGCATAAGCTTTCCCTAATGTTGTTGTTGCTCAAACATCAGTTTAGAGTAACTCATAGTTAAGAATGATATAAACCCTACCCAGCAAACTAGACGCATGTAGATAACCTTCTGCATGTCTTGCTAGCATGCATGTATATATTGGATCAAATGAACCATTTCAAATCTCACCCGTATGTATTCAATGTGTTACATATATACAAGATAGGATCGTGAATATTCAATAATAAAGCATTTATTTCTACACTCGAGAACTCTTGCCGGCCATCTTCTTAGCTATATTAGATGTCTTAACCCTATGTCAATGAAAGAATGTGGCTGCAGGGTGGCAACTAGCTACAGTTTACTCTAAAATAGATGCAAAACAAGGGGATTGATATAATTAACTCAAAAATTAATATTATACTTACATTGAACTTGTAATGTCGAACCATGCATTCCACTGATGCTGGAAACAACAAACAAGCCACCAAAACCAAGGCACGAATCAAAGGCACCGTCTCCATTTTTCTCTCTCTTGATCCTTATAGCTCTCTCTCTTTCTCTCTCTCTCTCTCTCTCTCTCTCTCTGAGACCCTCAGTGTTTTTTTGTGTGTTCTATGTCGTAGTGCTGTGCTGCAATAGAAGCTATTGACCAAGCCAAATTTATAAAGAGATAAAAACTACGTAGTGCTGTGCTGCTGCCATGTCGTTTTTGCGTAGTTTGGTAGATGAAAGGATACTTGAGAATGAAGGTCTGCGTATAAATAAATAAAAACTTGTTTATACGTACAGCAGCAGGCCAGAAACGTCTTGATCTTAATTATCTTGAGTCTCACACAAAGTAGTTATCTGTCAACTAAAACACTTGGTTTGATTTGAAGCCAGTGTATAAGGTTGATGTCAATTTCTTGAATTGGGCTGGGTGGTCAGATCAGATCAGCCACTGCATGGTTTGGTGGCCGTATTGGGTAAAGTACACCCAAACCCCAGCTAACAAACAAAAAAGTTGCTATTGATTTGCTTTTCCAACCATGGAAGCTCTCCAAGGTCAAGGAGATGACATACACAACAAGGCACTGGCTCAACAGAATCACCCACTTGATTATTCCTTTTTCTTTTTGTTTCTTTGGGTTTGTCTTATATTGTTATTGAGTAATTACATCTATTTATTATATTCACTTGCATTAAGTTCGCGGCAGAATATAACAGAGAAGGCTTCAACAAAAAGTGGTATGGACCAAATATCATTATTACTCTAAAAAAGAAACTTAATTTGTCCGATCATTAGTTGATCTATTTCATTTTTTTGTAGAAGCGATAATCTAAACTACAATAGTAGAGAATTTCTCTCATACACACAAAACTATTATGTCATGGGGATTCGAACCTAAGACTTCTAATATGCAAGTCTCCATTTTCCACTGGTCATCAACAAGATTTTGAGATTTGAACTTGAATCATCCTCTGCCAAAACAGACACTGGATATGACATTTGAACTACCAAAATGAAGGTTTGAATATCGAGCACACTTTTTAGGCTTTGCAGAATCGATAACAAATTGATTCGTTGGTTGTATTTCTAATTTGATGTGTTTAAACAAATTAATTAGGATGATCTTTCGTTACGAGCATAACTAATTAAATATGGTTCTTTAATATGGAATTTTTTTGCATATCCATTTTATAATTGGTGAAGGACGTGTGTGTATGTGGTGGGTGGACGATAGATACGTAAAGGATGTTAACACGAACCAATTTTTTTTTTTAGTTGAGCGATGGCTGTCATTGGATTGCCAAATCGACCGAAAAGGTTTGCTTTCTGAAAGCAAAAGATTAGAGGGGTTGGTAACAGCTCATCTAACCTTGCATGAGTTAATTACGCACATGAAATTAATTCATATATTTCTTGTCATTTCCCAGTTTGGTCTTGTGTTTCATTTTCTTTCGTTTTTTCTTTCTTTTTGGATAAAATCTTTGGTAATAACAATTGTATGAGGTCGGCATGCTAACGTGATACAATAAATTAATAAGAGAGTTGTTATTGACATTCCAAAAAAATTATTTTGCACTCCTCTTGTATCTTCATGAGTCGGCCATTTAAAATCCGTTGCGAAGTAGGAGTAAAACATGAAATTTAAAGTTCTAAAACATGCATTTTTGGTTTATTTATTTATTTTCCTCTTCATTCAGTCTTCTATCAATTCAACAATCATTTTTTTTAATCTCTCATTATAAACGTCTCTGAGGCTCTTTGTTGTATTGTTCGACCGGCCCAGATCGATATTATCAATCAAAACGGATCAACCCATATTTTGAAGGCCATGGTTTGGATCAAAACTCTTAAGCCCAACCTATTTCAGAACTTGGCATATGCACGCATCAAACCGATGTTCACCTTGCTCAGTCAGAACTTGGCTGCACAATTTGTATGATTTTTTTTTTTATTTTAACAACTTATCATGTGACATTAAAGTTTTATTTTTATTTTCTATAAAACGATATTTTAAACTATTCTAATGTACGAGGAGAATAATCAAACTCGAGTGCAACAGAGCGGGTTTAATATCTCTTAATCAATTGACCTAACCCACATTTACCATGTGACACTAAATTTGAATTTCACACTAAAACATGTGGAAACAAAACATAAAGAATTCGAAGGAACGATAACTGCATTTGGATTTCATTTTCTTTAAAACAACATTGTTTCGAAGTATTTTTCTGGTAAAGTAGCAAGGTAGGTAGGTCAGAGCTGCCCTGAAGGCTCTCATCTACAATTTGCCTAAACTGAGGCTCTACAACTTTCTGGTGCGCCCCTGATTTGTCCAAGGACCAAAGGGTGTGTGCTTCACATTAACAAAGAGGGTGACTTTGTACAGTTGGCTGCAACCCAGCATTTGTCAAATGAATGGTTTTTTAGGAGCCAGCAATTTTGCCAAATATGTACAATTTCCTTTTATGTACATATGGTTCGCTACTTGACCAAGAGAAATTTAAGACAAATGAGAGATCTATGAAGCATAATCTACTGAGTTTTGGTTAAGCCAGAAGCCAGAAGTTTTTGTGGGTTCTTGAGTTGAGAAGGTAGCCTCCATCCTGGCCCTTTTTCTGTACAGCAACACAAGCACACTTGCTATTTTCAATCAAATAATCTGCGGTGTCTATGGCTTTGTTAGTCGTCCCTCGCCCGGCTCCAGGCCACGTATATGTTCTGGTTTCATAGGAGCAAACCAAAGAATTAATTAGCAAATAATATAGCTAGCTGAATAATCTGTTTTCACATATACTACATCTCAACAGCACTGTTAATTTGACCTAAAACAAAAAATTTAATAAAGTTTGATGGCACTTTAATTTCTTAGGAGTAGACAAAAGACATGTTTAGGGTACATTAGTGAATCGCATTATGTGACAGGTGAGAATTCAGTTATTACGTCAAGTACTTTCTATTATATAATTTGGCACATCACTTATCACGTAATATGAATGCTAAGACATTGTAACAACTAGAACACATGACATGTACAAGAAAACTCACCCTAGGATTTCCTTAGAAATTCTCCGCCGTTGCCCTATAATTATGATATCAATCCCAAGAGCATCGCTTTGATGTAGGATAGTGTTGGCTTTGTCCTTGCCATCTTCCTTTCCCATCCTCTCCGCACGGACACTCAGCTTTGGCTGCACACGCTTGCATGCATTCTTCATTTCTTCAAGAAAATCCACGCCCTCCTCTGCGTTGATCCCTTCCAAGGACATGGTGGCTATGGCCATGGAGGCAAGGCTGGGTATTTTGAGCAGCGTCGTGAATGTGTTTCGCCACGTGTTTTGGTTTTCGACAGAGAAGAGGATCAATTCATCGTGTTCGAGCACTACATGAGCGAGCGCATATTGAAGCGCGCTCGCTGACTCTCGGGTTGGATCCGCCACCACCATTACTCGCCGTGCAAGCTTGGTTGCTTGGCCTTCCATTGGCTGATGTACGGCTGTAATTGAGGGGGTAGCTGCCACCACAACTACCCAATGTTGTCCCCCCAAAAAAAAACAGGAAGAAAAATAAATTTTTTTAAAAGGGTTACGAATGTGCAAGAGGGTAGGGAAGAAGTGGCATGTAATAGGAGGGGGTCATTTTTGTTGTGCAATTTATGAAGAAGGATGAGTATATTGACAACTTTTAGTGATGCACAAATTTTTTTTCTTTTAGGTCATCAATGAATCACGAATTAGGTAGAGATTCTTCGGCATGCCATTATTAGGGGAAGATGGCAGACTTAATGCCCTTGAGAACCGGTCAAATGATTGTCATTAGATTAGATGTTAAACCAAATAGAATTGCGTACGATTAATACACCAATTATAGCTTCGAGCAAAAAAATAAAAATAAAGGTGAGAAGAAAATAAGGACTAATACACAACAAAATTACAAAGTAAATCCACCGGTACAATCCGAACTAATAGCTGTGAGTGAGTATGTTTATTCTTATCCAAATGTAAAAGAGCGGGCACACTACTTTGATCAGCTGGCATAATCTATTTTGGCCGCTTGAATGGAGCCGTTGGTTTTTGAGTTAAGCTAAAATCGGAGGCTGCAAGCTATGCTGAAAGAGAAAGGTGGATCCTTTGTACAATTGAACGTCACTTTTAGCCTCTCTGCCCTTTTGTGTTTGTCATTTCCGACTAGATCAACGCACAAGAGTGGGCTATTTTTTTGGTTCACACTTGACTTGGAAATCTGATATGTGTTTTATTTTTGTTATCAGAATATATTTTTAGTTTGAAAGCTCAAGTGCTTTTAAAGTATGGTTTTTGTGGAAGCCAACGTTACGGAGCAAACCGTATGAATTGACAGGTTGATATCAGCATAGTTTGATACGTTAAGTTTCTTCCGCAGAAACATAAATTATATTATAGATTAAATATTAGGGAAATCTGACTCATGTAACCATGAATAACATTAAGACCAGAAGGCAGACTTTTAAGAATGTCTAATCTTATTATCTACTACCCATTATTATTTGTAATGATTCACACTTTCCTAGGATCACAAAAACAAGTTGCTTTTCCCAGCAGCATGAGCATACTTTTGACTTTTTGTAAGCTCTTTTTTCCGTATTCTAAGCATATCCTAAAGCTAATCATGCTTTTGATGTGAATGCGTATATTTTATGACTAACTAGAGTTTTAAAGCCAGCCACGTCTTCTAACGCATTAATATTGGAAACTTTCTCTCATTTACTAACACGTGGGTACTGAAATTATTCTGATTCTTAATATTTTATATGTTTATTAAGCATATATGAAATCAAAAAAATATGCAGATTCGATATTAAAATATGTAACTTAATATCTATAAAAATCAGAAATTAAATTGATTAGAGAAATAATTGATCTAATTATAATTCATCACTTTCCCCATGGTAGGTCCGTAAACATGCCATACAATTCTTTCAGCTGATTACTCAAGTGAGATTCAATTTATTATTTTAAGTATATGTTTTATAGCATGAGCTATACTCAGTATAATCGTGTGACATACGAGAAGAACGATTCTAAATCATAAATTTTTAAGTACTTAATTATGAAGTCCGCTCTAAATTAACAATCATCCGTTTATTTTTCTTGATCAATAAAAGAACTCTTACAATATTAATAAAAGAAATATCAATAGACTAGTCACAACTGGATCCGATTGGGGACATGTACAAGTCGATATCCACACACTGTATTCTCAAACGGCTGTCGAAGATTTGGAATATCCACCCATGCCGATTGCGTGACGACACAACTTGACGGAATCTGTCCACAAGCCAAAGTTAAAATGTAATATTTACATATTCTTGGCCACATACAGGAAGCATACAGTATTATAGGGCCCACACAGAAGACTTTGCTGATCCTGTGAGACACTATAATTGAACTTTGAAGTCAAAGCAAACTGGCAACTGCTAGTTTTATTTTCTCTATTGGCCTCTGGACCATCACAAAGCATTTTGCTTTATCTTTTTCTTGACCCAGTAATAACAAAGTTTACATTTTTAATATCCATCTGAAGCTGCAACTTCTCCCACTCTTGCGCCTCAGCCTGTGCGTTCCTCTGGGCCTCTGGTATGAATTTGAAGTTGAATTTGGGCAAAGAGTCTATCCAGTGTTTAAATTTCAATGCACTCTCTCTCTTGTGAAACAAATTTGATGATGCAGATATATAACTCTCTTTGGTTAATGCAGTTGCTGGGTTTCTAGCTGATTCTAGAGAGTCTAAAAGCCATGGCAGAAGATGATGTGCCCACCAAAGCAGCAGCAGCAGAAGATGTTTACACCAAAGATGGGACTCTGGATTTTCGTGGAAACCCAGCTAAGAGAAATTCCACAGGAACCTGGAAAGCCTGCCCTTTTATTCTAGGTACAGCAGCAACTCATGGAATTTGGTCCTGTAAATTATTGTAAGATACTAATTATCTTTGGTTTTTTTTTTTTTTTTTGGTTTAATTTGTGAATAGGGAATGAATGCTGTGAAAGATTGGCTTACTATGGGATGAGCTCTAATCTGGTGATTTATTTCAAGACTCAACTAAACCAAACCAGTGCTGTTGCTGCCAAAAATAACTCAAATTGGGGTGGAACATGCTACCTCACCCCCTTACTTGGAGCTTTTCTGGCTGATGCCTATTTGGGAAGATACAAGACTATTGCCTCCTTCTCAATCATCTATGTCATTGTAAGTTTGTTTACCTTCATATTTATATATACATGAGCAGCTGAGGTCAACTTGATGAAGCAAAATGATTAACTTGAACACCCCATGGATGGGCATTTCATTCTGTGTATCTTTTATTTTGCTTATCCCAATTGATTCCCTATTAGCTTAATACAAGCTTAGAATCGTACCCAGTGCCTTAATGTTTCTAAAAACATGACCTTGGTTGTTGAAGTTTGTTTCTTGTTGGGTTTAATATACTCCCTCAATAGACACTTACTGATTCTGTAATAATTTGCATAGGGGATGACACTTTTGACAATGTCAGCATCGGTCCCGGGACTGAAACCAACCTGTTCAGGAAAAGACAATTGCCATGCAAATGGTGGACAAACTGCAGCAACTTTCATAGCACTTTACCTAATAGCATTGGGGACTGGTGGGATTAAGCCTTGTGTCTCATCCTATGGAGCAGACCAGTTTGATGATGATGATGAGGTTGAAAAGAAACACAAGGGTTCTTTCTTCAATTGGTTCTATTTTTCCATTAATGTTGGTGCTTTGATTGCCAGCTCTGTGCTGGTGTGGATACAAGAAAATGTGGGTTGGGGATGGGGTTTCGGTGTTCCAGCCGTTGCCATGGCAATTGCTGTAGTGAGTTTCTTTTCAGGTACTCGGTTATATAGGTATCAGAAGCCTGGAGGTAGCCCTCTGACACGCATAATTCAGGTGCTGGTGGCATCTGTGAGAAAATACAAGGTGAAAGTTCCCGAAGACAAGTCCCTTTTGTATGAGACTGCAGATGCAGAGTCTTCGTCCATCCAAGGAAGCCGCAAACTTGATCACACAAATGAATTTAGGTTAGTTTCTGATCTAAACTGAAAAAAGCTTGGATTATTTATAAAAGTTGATTTTCATAGGATAAGATTGGATGGCAAAGCAAATTCATGTAGCAGATACTAAATAGTTATGCATATAAGGATCCATGCCAGCAGTCCCAATTCAGATTAAGGCCTAGTTGAGTTGAGTAATCAAACTATAAGATTGAGAATTCTTTTATACACATTGGTTTTGATTCTCTTGCAATAATTGCAATAATGATTGAGTAGTTTTACTTGCATTGTTATTGCTGTTCTGTTGACCTGTATTTTTACTGTCCAGGTTCTTTGACAAAGCAGCAGTGGAGGTACAATCCGACCATATAAAGGACTCAAAAGACCCATGGAGACTTAGTACAGTTACTCAAGTGGAGGAGCTAAAATCAATCATAAGGCTGCTTCCCATATGGGCAACTGGTATCATCTTTGCTGCTGTCTACAATCAGATGAGCAACTTTTTTGTGTTGCAAGGCACCCTTATGGATATTCGTGTGGGCCACTCTAGCTTCGAAATCCCTGCAGCATCTCTTTCCATCTTCGACACCCTTAGTGTCATTTTCTGGGTCCCAATATATGATCGAGTCCTTGTCCCAGTAGCTAGAAAATACACTGGTCACAAGAATGGCCTAACCACACTCCAGAGGATGGGGATTGGCCTCTTCATCTCCATATTTTCCATGATATGTGCTGCAGTTTTGGAACTCATCAGACTCAGAAGTGTTCGAGAGCATAACTATTATGAATATGAGCACATGCCCATGTCAGTTTTTTGGCAAGTACCTCAGTATTTCCTCATAGGAGCTGCAGAAGTTTTCACATTCATAGGACAGTTGGAGTTTTTCTATGATCAGGCACCTGATGCCATGAGGAGCTTGTGTTCTGCCCTCTCACTCTCCACTGTTGCACTAGGAAACTACTTCAACTCTATTCTTGTGACCATTGTTACCAAAACAACTACGAAGAACAAGAATCCTGGATGGATACCGAACAATTTGAATTACGGACACCTTGATTATTTCTTCTGGTTATTGGCAGTGCTGAGTGTTCTGAACCTAGGAGCATATCTCTTGATATCCAAGTGGTACACGTATAAAAAGACCGTCGGAACTCTGCGTTGATCGCCAAAGGGAGAGATACCACATAAGAAGTTGTTTTCTGCACTCTCTGGTGTTTTTTAGCTTTTTTTTTTACTTTGGTTGTTGAAACACTTGTGTATATATATAGTCTGTTTTAGGAGCATAGTGCTTGTGTATGCCACTCTGCTAAGAGACTACAATGATGAATGAGTCTCATATGATGGTGTGAAACTATCAATTAAGCAAGAATGATTAAGAAAGAAGTGAACCACAAGTTCCATCTTTGTCTTTGCCTCCCATTTATTTCCTTGTACAAACTGGTACTAAATACTTGCTTAAGTCCTTTCAGTTCTTTTCTTTCTATATTACCAAACTCTAAACTGACATCCACATGGAAAAAAAAATAATAATAATAAATAAATAAATAAATCATTTGAATAAAATAAGCATTATCCCCAAACATTTGGTGGAACTCAACCCAATAAAATAAGCTTAAATATTTGAAATTTCTTTTATGTAAATGGCTTAAAACGCTGTCTCTGTCTGAACCCAGTTAATTTCATCTCTTTTTCTTATATGGGTTTCTTTCTTGGTGGGTCTGAAAATATAAACCCAAGAGTAAGCACTGAAGTCTAGCCCAAGTCTCTATTGCCCTAGCCATTTGAGGCCCTTCACCTTCTAGCACGTGGAACTGCCAGGAAATTAGTTCTGATTCTGAAGACGATTAGAGAAAAGAGATCGATTGTCCTCACCACTCTCTGATCGCAGATGATTCGCAAACGCTATCAGGATGCCAAAGCAGGTAATCATGTGCTGCGAGAGGGCAAATAGCAAATCAAAGACAATAGTTTTCGCGCTTTGTGCTTCTGTTTTTTGGTTTTTGCTACAACTCTCCAACTGTTTGATGAATTGCTTCACTGAAAAACCTTAAGCTTTTCTTTTTTTATTATTTACATTTCAGGGTACCAATTGGCCAAATCGTTGAACGCCCAGAAGTACTTGAAGAAGATAGGACTGGGCAAGGAAGACTACTACTTCTGGAAACAAATAGGCAAGGCTTTGCTATGCACATACACTCTTTTCGGCGTAGCGTGGCTCTACAACGAGAAATCACCACTCGGCTGGTGGACGCTGAAGCCTAAACCCAAGGAAGAGAGAGAGCTGGCGCACCTGTACGAGCGTCGACAGTTCCCCTACCCGGGCGACGAAGAAGCCATGGAAGAGTTTGTTGCCAAGGGAGGGATGATCGGCACAACAATTGGCCCGAAAGGGTTCGTTGAGACGGACAAAGATGCGTTTAATTATCAGAAGGAGTTGCAGAATAAGAAGCTGGATCAGGAAGCTCAGAAGCTGTGGTTGAGGATGAAGAATGAGGTCATTCAGGAGCTTCAAGAGAAGGGCTACGTAGGTGACGCTGAGTGAGTGTAAGTTAGGATGGTAAGCTCTGAGTGCAAATTGTATGGTTATGTTATGTGAAGAGTTCATGTGTTTGTGTGCAAAAGCTTGTTCCTTTCGTTTCATGTTTTTACTTTAAAAATACAATTATCAAAAGTATTAGTATCTTTCTTAGTTCCCAGTTCCTACATTGCCTTTGTTGGTTGGAATAGAAAAACATACTATTTTGGATAAAAGCACTTTGTGTGCTTCTTAAAAAAGTGACTTGGATATTTCTATGCAACATTGAACGCTTCTTTCTAAAAAAACTGCTACCAAGCAAAAGCGCTTCACAAAGAAATGCTCGAAACAAAGACACACTTGATCTACAAAATAAACATTCAACACAGCTACAAAATGAAGTGACAAACAAACGATTTCAAAGAAAAAAAAGACTAAATTGTATTATTACAAGGCTCCTCAAATATCATAGGCAGCTACTTAAAAAGATTGTCAGAGGGAAACAGTTGTGGTTTTGATTATTGCCTTATTGGCAATTTGGCATTGTTAGGAGAAACGTGTTAGGGAGAGGTATGCCCTCATTCTAGAAGAAAATGCATTTATATATGGCTTTACAACATAACAAGACATCCATGGAAGAAGATGCGAATGCGATGAAGCACCTTTACAAGACATTCTTGGGCACAGACTGTAAGTTGTTGCTGCTTGGCCTACTCTTTCCTGATTCACTCTTCCTGTAGCTCCTCAATGGCGTCAAGTAAAACCTCAACAATCCATGATCAAGATTGCTCGGCGAATACCGAGCACTCTTGTTCCTCTGCAGAGTCTTCAAACCATTGCTTTTGCTCTCGACACCAACGCCATTCACATTGCTGAACAAATCAACCATTTTGCATGAGTTCCTACAGCTAACGCTGTAACTCCGAATCAGCTTCTGGCTCACAGACCCACTGTTGGCTTCTCCATCGGCAACCCTCCTCAGCTTTTGCCAAGAATCCGCATTGTCTTCATCCACACATTTCTTTTCACTTCTCCTCTGCATCAAACCCCAAAAACTCCACTTCTTGTGCCGCCTATTCGGCTTTTGATGATCAACCCCATTGGTTGATTCCACAGCAGCATTTTTACAAACAGCTTCAACGCCAACCCCAACACCACCCTCCTCCTCCTCCTCCTCCTCCTTACACTCATCTTCAACAGATTTCAACTTCGAACCCGAACACATCAGTTCCTTCTCTGTAATTAGCAACTTGGCGCCATAGAACAACTCTGTAGTCGCAGGGGACACTCTGGCATTCGTTACCAACTTCAACTCATCAACCTCCGCCGCCGATCGATCGAAGCTCCGCCGCCGCTGAGAACAGTAATAGTCTTTGGTTTGAGCTGACCCACCTGGGCTCCTCTCCAAGCTCTCTTCCACAACCGAAACCATCGGCGTCAGCCTCGGGTGGTGGGCTCTCGGACCCAAATACCCATCCCACGAAGCCCGAGGCTCGTCAAGCGACATTCGACCCGGATCCGGATCCGTATCGTACGATCTTCTCCCCAATGCGTACTCTCCAACCTCCGACTGGGTTTCCCTCCGCTTCTGGCACACGAAACCCTCGTTCTCCGCCTTCTTCGTCTTCTGCTTCCGCCGCCATTGCCTCACCTTCTTGCTCAAAACCGACGCCGTTCCCCAAAATGTCCCTGCGATTTCCTTCAAATCCCGACCCGCACCCTTCTTCCTCTCCCACTCGAGATCTATCAGCTCCTTCATCGTCTTGAACTCCGCATCCGAATCCAAAACCCTAGCTTCGTCTCCACTATCGTCTTTGTCCTTTTCTCCTCTCAGTTCGACCTCAAACTTTCTGGGCAGGCCTTTGCGGTCGTCGTCGATGTTGAAGAGCTCCGACAGAGTGTTCCGAGCCCGAACGTCGCAGGACTTGCGCCGGGTCGGGTCGGGGGCCGACGAAGACTCAGGTCTCTGGCCGGAGCATGACTTGCTGCGCCGGAGCTCGGACCCGGAATGGGGGTTCCGGGTCGGTGATTGTGGTTGAGCGGCAGCGGCGGCGGAGGCGAGGCCGGCGAGGCGTTCACTGAGGCAGGGGGCGCAGAAGCCTGTGATGGGTTTGGTAGGGTGGCGGTGACAGGTGGAGAGGCGGTGAGTTTGGCGGTGAAGGGCCATGGCTTTTTTAGGGTTGCAAATGTGGGGTGGTGGTGGAGAGTGAGAGTGACAGTGGGTGCATGGTAGAAGAAGAAGGAAGTGGGGACTCACAGAGAGACAGAGAGAGAGAGAGAGAGAGAGCGGTTGAAGTTGTGGTCGGAATGGGAAATTGATAAAAATGGAAACCCCAGATAAACCCCCTTTTTGGGATTTTATGGTTGTTTTGTTGCGTACATGAATTTCTATTTTCTAAACATTTGACATGGAGATGCAGTGCAGCAGGATTTATATTTCTATCTAGGAACAACAAAAAAAAGAATCCTATGCAAAGGAATTTATGGCCTTTCTTGCAGCTCAAATATAATAAAAATATTATTTAATAGAACTCTTACAAAAAAAATTTACAGAAAAAAATGGACTCTATTTATTGTAAAAATGAAAAATACCTAGCTTCTAACATGGAAGCTTGCGCACAAATTCAATGTTGATATGTGAAGTACATACTTTTAATGAGTTATTTGTGTGTTTTAACAATAACGAAAGACTACTTTTATATAAATTGTACTGCCGTGATTTGCAAGAAGTAATGAGAAATGATTCCTTATCGGGAAAAAAACTTTGCATGCTCTCACATTGTCTTAATAATTCTTTGTTTATAGACACATCAGTTTGTTCATGGTTATTGGTAAGTGGTAAGTGATTTTGATAGGAAGTTAAACCATCGCCTTGTTCATGATTATCTTCTCAAATGAAACTTGCTACTGAAACTTGGGCATTGCTTGGAGCAGAAGAAGAGCAAGCAAAGATAAGAGTGTGAAGATGAAGGAAAGCAACAATTTTTAGGCCCACAGTACAGTAAGCCCACGACATCAGTGCACTGCACACTTTCTTGGATTTTGGTTTCTTTGCAAAATGACTATAATAGGCCACAAATGCCAAATCCAACCTCCTCCTTGTGGACGTGCACACAAATTTTAGGTCAACTCCACTAGGGACACCACCATCCATTGGCATAGAAATACACAATAATGTAGCATTCCCAAACAATGTGCTTTAAAATACAAAAACCGATCTGGGAAATAAGAGCCCAAGAATCTTTGATTTACTAATATATTCATTCTTGAAATACTTGCTCAATGTTTGTCTTCAACTTTCACCTTTAAAAAAGAAGTTACCAGAAGGCTTCGAGCTAATGGTGTTTCTAAAAGTAATGACATGTTTACAAAAAGTGAAGAATCGCGAAAGTTATGAACATATTAATGACTTTTCCTAATCAATCTAAGGGCTAATTTGACATTGTTGTATTGTGAAAATAATTGCTGTCAGATTTGCTGTGAGAGAAAACAATTTGGCGTTTGGTAAACTTTTTGTTAAAAGTGTTTGTTGGTATTGATTCCCTCATAATCATTAAATCCAGCGTCTCTTCAAAACTGATTCCCTCATAATCATAAAATGAAAATACCTCATTAGTAAAAATATTTGATTATGCATTGTAATGTGGAATCTACATACTTTTTGATTTTGCATAAAGATTAGGAATCAAAATAATTCTAATATTCATATTTTAATAAACACATAGAATGTATGGATTATGAATAATTCCAATAATCATCCTAATTTATTCCCTATAAGTAAACATGACATGATATAATATAAACAACATTTTTGAATGCATTAGCTATGCGATTCAAATAATGTAATTCTAATTATTATTATTTTTTTAATTAAAAAAAAAAGTGGAAACTTGGTCTATAATATGAATCTAGGTTCACTATTTAGGGTTTCAAGTTTAAGGTTTAGATATTGCGAATTGCACAAGTATTATATGAGTAGACTTATAATTTCACATCAACATGACACGTTGTGTTGTCATCACATCAGAAAATTTCTCAATTTTCCATTCGCATATGTGTGCCCATCATAAGGGTAAGTGGGCCGACAAATCGGCCCAGTATCACTAAAATCGGCCCCACCACGCTATTTTGATTTCAACGGTTTTATCCACTTCCCTCAAACTCATCCCCTGAAATGGATCAGAATGAAGGAGGAAAACCCAGTATGGAGAAGGCCAAGAGGTCTCTGGAGCTGACCGACGACGAGTCAGAGGCCGTGTCCAGGCTCGCCGTTCGGCCTCACCGAGCCGGCGCCGGTCCGAGCTTCTACGAGTATTTCGCTCTCAGAGGCATCCAAGTCGACCGAGTCGAACCGGGACTCGTCGTCTGTACTTTCAAAGTCCCTCCCCACCTCAGCGTAAGTCATCTAAACCCGCTCATTCGTTAGGTTACAAGCAAAATTTTCCATAATTATATCGAAATTAAAATTTGTTTCTTCATAATTTCATTATTAAGAGTATCAAAATAGGTTCTTTAACTTACAAATTTGGGTAATTTTGGCTACAATTGAACTATTTTTTATGTGGTTGAGTGGTTCGTGTGTTTATTTTTGCAGGATAGAAGTGGAAGGTTGGCCAATGGTGCAATTGCAAACCTCGTTGATGAAGTGGGTGGTGCAGTTGTTCATGTTGAGGGCCTCCCTATGAATGTTTCAGTGGATATGTGCATCTCTTATATGTCAACTGCGAAGCTTCATGTAAGCAATCTTGACACTCAACTATCCCATTTTTCGTTGACATGTATGCTTTACATAGCTGCCTTTCAATTGGTCATACATCCATGTATGTGTCCAATTTGTTGGACTTTCTTGAACGGATTTTTCCTACAATTTGTTAAGGCTTGTTTCTGAGTTTTGCTACTATTTTGTGCTTCCATTGGTGGTTTTAACCTCTCTTGTCGTATGTGTGTGGTATACGATTTCAATCGTGCTTATGTTCAATTTAACAGACTTTCTTGAATGTCACCATTGTTTGTTGCCAATCCTTGAAGTTATGTGCCCAAAAATCTTAAAGGAACTTGTCTTGTATAGAAGCCCAACTTTGCCACTGGTTTCTATTTGCCAGAAATATTTTCTTTCCTGGTTTTATTTGCAAAATTTAGCTTCTACAATGATAACCAATTTACTTTACCGTACTTGTCATATGTGTGTGCGGTATCCGATTTGCATTTCGATGTTTCTGGCCATAATGTATGTTCTCTCCCGGTGTCAAATTGCAGGATGAATTAGAGATCACCTCAAGGGTGTTAGGACAAAGAGGGGGTTATTCGGGAACGATAGTGCTTATGAGAAACAAGGTAACTGGGGAGGTTATTGCTGAAGGTCGACATTCATTGTTTGGTAGACATGCTAGCAAACTATGAGTCCCTGACTTTAGCATGTAGTACTATGTACTATATATGGAGGGAACTCCTTGAGGCATAGGTTGAATAATACTTTCTTCTTGTAATTAATTGTTTTTCATATTGAATAAAGATTGAGAATCTTGGCAATAAAGTTATTCAGGTATAATGTTATGGACCAACATACATGGTGCAGTTTCTGTCCTCGAAATCGAATTCAGTGGGACTACTTTTACTTCATGTTTTTGCTGATTCATACACAAAAAAACTTAAACCCCAATTTTCACTCTGATTCCTGGTCCTGCATTTTTCTTCAAAGACAGACTTTCTTTTTCATTTTAGATTTCAGTAACATGAGTTTTTATTTATCCTAAATTCTCCTTCCTCGGTTGTATTAACTGCCTCCTAATTTCTCCTTGATTCTCCTTTCTAATTTCCAGATTCATTTAGCTATTAGTCTCAGTATCTGACTCAAACTCATTATGTTAGGTAACGGATCAAGGTGGTACTTGAAATGAGGTAGAGAATAGTGGATTCTTTTTTGTTATTTTCAAAGTAGATAGTGGGGTATGTATGACTTCATCACTTGGACCTTTCCAAGGCAATTATGTAAATGACATTACAAGACTGTATCATTACAGCTTCAGGGGAGTGGAGTGTCAAAAAGTATGATCTACAATTACATTACAAGACTTGGGCTACGACGGAATTCTTTTTGGAACAATTAGTATATCCCCCAACAACTGGTAATGTTAGCTAGAAACACTTTAACAATCAAACTATATAAATAAATAAATAAAAACTCATCAACTATGAAGGGACTTTTGAAGGGCTTTTAAGGCTTGGCCATATGATTTAAAGAAAATACAATCCAGACTCTCCCAAAGGTACATTCCCGGTGCAAGGAAGTTTTCTCCTAAGAAAGGATCTAATGTTGGGTCTAGCTCAGTGAAAAATGACATTATTTCACAGAACAGTAATGTCAAGTTCGAACCCAATTTCTTTTCCTTCCTCCCAATTAAGTTAACCTCGAGGTGTTGAACGCGTACAGTCCTCTACTCCTTTCTATTTTTGGTAAATTTTCTACTTCTTTCTAGTTTCTATTTTTGGCAAATTAGGTGCAAGTCCTTATGGATGTGGAAAAATTCTGTACGAAGAAAAAGATGAGCGAAAATCCAATATGGAGGACGCGAAGAAGTGTTTAGAGCTGACGCCGGACGAGTCAGAGGCCGTGTCGCGAGTCGTCGTTCCAGAAATCCGAGTCGGAAAAGAGCCGAGTTTGTACGATCTTTTCGCTACGACAGGCATCCGAGTCGACCGAGTCGAACCCGGATTCGCCGTCTGTTCTTTCAAGGTCCCTCCTCGCCTCACCGTGAGTCTTCTAACACCTCACTCGTTTGGTAATTAATTGAAAACATGAGTTTAATGTGCCCAATTTTGGACTTGTGTTGCTTTTGTTGGCAGGATAAAGATGGAAATCTGTCTAATGGTGCAATTGCAAACCTTGTTGATGTAGCTGGTGCTTCTCTTATTTATGTTATGGGTCTCCCCATGAACGTTTCAGTGGACATGTCCATCTCCTATGTGTCAAAGGCGAAGATTGATGTAAGCAAGCTTTCCACTCAAAGTAATATATATTCTCCATTTTTCTTTCACATTCATATGGTTTTTAGCAACATCTGACATACTTTCGTGCTCAAAATTCCCTTGAAATATGGGTTCAATGGATTAGAAATATTTCCTTACGTGTTTCGATTCGAAGAATTTGGTTATTATAAACTTGGAGGTCTCAAGTTCAAATCTCGTTAACTTGAGTTTGATGTGTTGGTATCCCTTGTTGAGAGTCGTTTGTCAAAATCATTCCGCTGCACATTATTTTGTCTAGTGGTGGGATTTGCCTTACTCATGTGTGCTGGTGGTATATGATTAGCATTTGGACATTTCTGGCTATAACATTGTCAAATTTCAGGATGAGTTAGAGATCACCTCAAAAAGGTTAGGACAAAAAGGCGGTTATTCTGGAACATCAGTCCTGATGAGAAACAAAGCAACTGGGGCGATTGTAGCCGAAGGTCGACATTCATTGTTTCGTTCACCTGCTGCTAGCAAACTCTGAGTCCTTTCCATTTACAAGTACAAACCATGTATGAAGCGAACTCTCCATATTAGGGTTGCTTTTCTTTTTGTAAGTATTCATTTATTTTTTATTTAATAAAAGATAGAAATGTTAGAAGGACATAGAACAAATAACCAAATTATTGGCCTTGTAATGACTTGGATTTTTTATTTATTTCAAACTCCTGCACACATTCACACCAGATAAAATGAGACATATTACATCCGATTGCATCAAGTATCCAATAGTTCACAATCTCTAATAAGAGTGATGCTAAAGATAGTTGCTCACACATTTAATATTTTCCATCCAATTGCATCAAGGATCCAACAGTTCACAATCTATGCGACTGACAATGCTTTATGGGTCCTAAGAAGTAGTGGCGGATTTAGAATTTAAAAGTTAAGTAGGTGAAGATTACCTTAAAAACTTGACGGTATGAGTGAATTTTATTTATAAAAATAAAAAGATGCACCTAGTCAGGGGGACATAATGATCCTTACCCTCAAATATGCATTTCTATATATAAATGAAAGTTTAACAAAAAATATCTTGACTACTCTTTGGCTCTCAACTCTTTCAACTTTAGGCTTGACAATGAGAGAGTTGGGAAGATTTTGATCATCACAAATGGGAGGCATTGTACTAGATGATGACCTATCATTATTTTTCTTAACATAATGGAAGAGAACTTATTTAATCAAACATCCCAACAAAAAATCAAACAAATTCCCATAATAGCATCAATGCATTTAATCAAATATTAACATACCAACAACAAATTAAACATCTCAACAAAATTCCTAAAATCAAAGACCTAATTCATTTCAACAAAATCCCCAAATTATGATTCATTCCTAATTAAACCCTAGAATGCTCAATTTCGAATTAAAATTAAAATTAAGATGCATACATTTATTTTAGGAAAAATCCATTAAGAGAAGATAATTAAAGAGGAGAGCATAAGAAGAATACTTGTTGCCTAGATAGGGAGAAACATGAGGCATACTCCATTCAATTGCATCAAAGGATCCAACATTTCACAATTTCTGCGGTTGTCATCTGCTTTATTGGTCATGCAAAGCAATATTACATCCACCGTACACATTTTCGCTTCCATAACTTCTCTAACAAACAAGCAAATATAATTTTGATTTTTGTCTCACGTTCAATGTAGATATGTTCTAGGTGTTCCTACGAGAAAAAGAACTTGTATTGTATACCACGGGGATATTAGAACTTTCAATCAATCAGATTCTGCTCCTCGTTTGAACACTTCGAATGTTTTTGAAAAAGTTAGCGTATAGAACATAACGTAATTGATTAGAAATAACGAAATAATGATATCTCTATAACATGCAAGTTTTTCTCCACAAGAACCGTAAACAATGCAATTATTGCTGGCATCTTAAATCGTGGGATATATTTACCAACATAATTGCTCCACTGAAAGGATGTACACGTGTTTCACAAAAAGAAAAGAAAAGTGTACATGTGATGTGAGGATCTACATTTGATGAACAATTCAATTGAATATAAATGACACTTTGGACGTTGATTTGCTCAAAGAAATTATCTCCACTATCTAATTAGGTCCCGCCTGTTCAGAAATGCGCGGGTCCCGCCTTCAGCAGAGGTGTAAGTTTCGAATTAGATGCAAATTTGCGTTCTTTACTCTTCATCAGCACGCGAGTTGGCTCATCTAAGTCGCCAAGGTTTCTTCCATTGAAGCTGATGTGGAGATGGACAAGAAGGTGAACAAGTCTCTGGACGTGACCGAGGACGAGTCAGAGGCCGTGTCGCGACTCGTCGTTCCAGTTATCCCACCCGGCGGGGTGAGCTTCTACGATGCTTTCGTTGTCAGAGGCATCCGAGTCAACCGAGTCGAACCCGGACTCGTCATCTGTACTTTGAAGGTCCCTCCTCGCTTCACCGTGAGTCTTCTAAACCCACTCACTTTTCTGAGTCATTTCCCGAAATTAACTTGGATTCTCTGTTTCTTTAATTAACCAGACTCAAGCCCAAATATTCCCCACCTTAAAAATACAACTATTTATGCATGCTCCAGATTAAAATAGTTTTTTCCTCAAAATTAGAGTAAGCAATTTTATTAAATTGTTTAAAATTAGTTTAACTTTTGTTTGGGTTAATATTTGTTGAGTTTAATTTGTTTATACTTTTGTGGTTTATTTCACTTAAAATAAAAACAAGTACAACCACATTGACATGTAAATGTGTGCACAACAACTTTGAAAGGACAACGAACAAAATTAACAAATTGAGAAAGGGAAAAATAGATTTTAGTGGATTATTTAATAAATGTATAGGTATTTATAGAGCTTTAAACTGCATATGATTTAGGTAATTTAATAATAATATTTTAACTGTTCTCTATTAAATAAATAAATATATAATATTATTATTTTAACCGTTAGATTTTAATTTGGACCATTGGATAAGTTGTTTCCCGTTGAGATGGCTAAGATTGCATCATAGCCCTTAGATTAGATGTAGTTAGTCATAGTGTTTGAATTTAGAAAACAAAAAGTGCAATTCAATAGGAGCCGTGCGATCTCAAAGGGCAAGTCCTATGTTTCCACCATGGGTAGTACGGCTTTTCCTCTAAAGTGGCCGACACGCACGTCTGCTGGGCTCCACCATCGTTAGTGTCTCCACGTTGGCCGCCCAGCAGCCGAAGCTTGTCTCCGCCATTTTGAGTTGGACTCAAAATATGATTGCTATTCGGCTTGGTCTTGGGCTCATTTGAAAATTTGATCCGTCAAACACATAGGTTGGGGGTGCTTTTCAGCTAAGAAATTTTGGGTTTGGGCCCTCGTGCATTGGAGATGGCCTTAGGCCTTCTCCAACTCATTTGGCCCTAAACCCAAATTTCCCCCTTCAAAAAGTAACTATTTGTGTTTTGTCTGGACTTAAACCATTTTCCCCCCAACCCTTTATACTCAAATTTTAAGTCAGCAACTTTATTAAATTGTTTGAGATTATTTGGGTTATGCCTCATGAGTTGGAGATGGCCTTAGAAGAGAGAGAGAGAGAGAGAGAGAGAGAGAGAGAGAGAGAGAGAGAGAGAGAGAGAGAGAAGCAGAGAGACATGGATAGGTGGGTATTTATTGAGAAGTTGCATATGATGATATATTTTATTTTTATTTTTATACAAGCGATATTGGGATTGCATATCCAAACATAGAATGTTGAGAAATGTGCAAATGCTCTTAATTACTTGAAGTACAAACTCATTGTCTATTATGAGGTGATTTTAGGTCATGTTACTTTGTGCATGATATGTAGTTCTAAGAGCATCTCCAAGGGAAGAAAAACTTCCCTGGCATGGGGATGTCGGGGGTAAGCATTAAACTAAGCTTTGTGACCCCATCACTGCAACTAAGGTTGTGGATACTTAGTTTGAATGCTTACCCTGACATCCCCGTGTTAGGGAAGTTTTTCTCCTCCAAGGGAGATGTTAAATCCAATGTGACACTTTTAACATTTAGAAAAAACAACAGAGATTCACTCTAATCGAAATGTTAAACCTATGTGGAATAACATTTCTCTCTTTTGTTGTTATTATTGGTTGTTTGACTTTGTGATGTTATTTCGTTATTTTTTATTTTTTATTTTTTATTATTGTACTTAGAAAGTAATAAACCAATAAACACAATGTGATAAAATAATATTTTAATTTGACATGTCGGGTGGAATATAAAACTTTATTATATGTCAAATTGCTACATAAGCCATCAAATTTAAATTTAATGTTTGATATTTGACATCTGCTTTAACTTGGCTAAATATGATACATAAGCCGCAACATACTAAGATCAATAATACCAAAGCAAGTATACTTAAAGGTCCGACATCTCAAACCTGCTAAGTATAATAGTGCATTACCTGAAAGGACTTGAGCCCGCAACTAATTTCCCAAATATATATAATACTAATAATTCACTTCAGCACGGGGGTCGTACTGTCCACCCGTCTTCATAACTTCCCAAATACAATTTAACATATTTAAGTCTCTAATTTAAGACAATAGTAATTCATAATACATATATGTACGTATGAAGAAATAATCTTTGTATAACTTTTTTTTTTTGGTAAAAAGGTGGGGTCAAAACCCAAAACAACAGAAAACTTAGCCAGAGGCTAACCTAACCCAACGAGTTCTAGGAACTCCTAATAAGTCATCAACTAATAAAGCACTAATCCAGCTTGGGGCAGCATCAAGCACACACAACCCAAGATCAAGATTATGGCTCCATTTAGCCAAACAATCCTCCACAGCATTCCATTCTCTGTAGATGTAGCTCACAGAACAAACACCAATTTGTCTCACCATCGCACAACAGCTAGTAATCAAGGAAGCTAGAGGATGGGAGCCAAGCCTAGAATGCTGCTGAACAAGAAGTATAGCCGTAGCAGCATCCATTTCCACAGTGAGCCTGCGAATGCCTTCAGCAATAGCAAGTTGCAGACCCAAAAACAAGCCCCAAACTTCAGCTTCCAGAATTTTCCCCTTACCAAGGTTCACAGCAAAACCACAAATCCAATCCTCTAAGGAATTATGAATCACTCCTCCATCACCAATAGAGCCCGAAGCACACCTTTTAGACCCGTCCACATTAAGCTTAAACTGTCCCAGATCAGGAGGTTCCCAAGCCAGCAAAAGGGGAATTTTAGAAGCCTTTGTATCCCCGACATGGCTACTTGTATACCACTCCCTTACAGCAGCAACAATAATCTTCTCGGACTCATATCTGACCTCATCATCTATATTAAAAATATGATTATTTCTCCATTTCCATAAGACCCAGCAGGTAAAAACACAAACTAAAGCCCATGACACATGATCACCCCACATAACTTTAGACAACATATTAGAGCGAAGCCAAGGATGGAAATCCATATGGAATAAATAGGGATGAGCACCAGGACAAAGCATAGGGATATCCAAGCCAAATGCCTCCGAGCCTTCTGCTTATTAGACAAGATTTTGCCTTGAAAACCCAGCCAAAGGAAAATTTGAAGCTTAAGGGGAATCTTCAATTTCCACAAGAACTGCCAGTCATACGCAATGTTTTAAAAGGCGAAGCGTAAAGACGAGGCGTTTTTTGTCCGCTATGCGAGGCGTAAGCCTTGAAGCAGTGAGGCGTAAGCCTTTTGAACATTAATTTAATTTAATAAAAAAATTATAAATAATACAATATAAATAAATTGTACTACTAATTCTTATTTAGCCAACATATTCTATCAAATATAAGTACTAATTGTCATTTAAGCATCAAAAGAAAAACTCAATTCATGCATCTTACTTTTCATCATGAAACATCAAATGATATTTGGCATTTATGTGTGGACTTGAGTGTTATTTTTAGTGGATTTTATGGATATTGTGTTGTTTGGAAAAAAAAAATACTAACATATTATATACATATATATATATGAATCTAGTACAAAGAGAATTGCATACCAAAGGAGAGAATTAAAACTTATGGAAAGAATTAAAATTGATGCAGATTATGGCATTAGGGATATGCATATAGGTCCATCAATGTATTTATTTAGATTTTTTTTTTTAAAGGGAAGTATCGTTTGTTTCAAGGTATGGCATTAGGGATATACAAATTCAAGCGAGGCCGTCTTCTTCCTCGGGCTTTGGCATAGGCCAACCCGTGAGGGTTTTCAGTGGGGGGTTAAAAGGTATGATGTTTGCTTTTATAAAATAAAAAAATAAAAACCCAAAACGTGCGTTTAAAACACCTCAGTTTAAAAAAATAAAAACCACTTAAGTAACTAAATGAAATGACGTCGTATTAAAACAAACCCTACCAAAAAAATTTTCAAGCGAGGTCGTCTTCTTCCTCGCGCTTTGGCTTGCAGACAGCGGCGCTTCTTCACGCCACGCACGCCTCGCCACGCACGCCTCTGCACGCCTCGCTACGCTAAGCGTGCAACAAGCTAAACATTCGTACACCTAAGGCGATTTCCCTCCGCCTCGCTCCGATGCGCGCTCCGACGCGCGCTTAGGCATGCTTTTGAAAACACTGGTCATACGAAGGCCACTCACTACCATGAAACAAGAGAGTATAGACAGTTCTTACCAAGAACATACCATTTGTAGCAGGCCCCCAAATCTGAGCATCAGGAACTGCACCGGTCACTCTCACAGGGATGCAAATAATTTAATGAACCAACTCCTCATCCAAAATTGCCCTTAATTTGTCAATATCCCACCAATCCCCCTTAAGAAAACTGGATACATTGCAGGACACATCTCCAACTTGCAAAACCCCATCATGTTCGGGAAGAGGTCTTCCATTCATCCACCTATCCTGCCAAAATTTAACTGTCTCATTTCCCAATCCTCCACAACATACCCTTAGAGAGTAACTCCACCCCATGTAGAATACCCCTCCAAGTAGAGGAACAAACCTGCTTTGGAAGTAGGGAAGGGTCCAAAATTGACGTATCTTTAAGGATTTGGCCTCATAAATCCTAGCCCAAAGCCCCTCATTGTTGTTCTGAATTCTCCAACCAATTTTAGCAAGTAAGGCTTGATTCATAGTAGAAGACTTCCTAAAACCTAACCCTCCTTTACACGCTTGATTCATAGTAGAAGACTTCCTAAAACCCAACCCTCCTTTACACTTAGGCAAACAAACCAAATTCCACTGACATAAATGAACTATGGTTTGTTTTTCACTGCCTCCCTAGAAAAAATTCCTATTCAACCGGTTTAGCTCATCACAAACACTTGCAGGGAGTTTAGTAGTTTGCATAGCATAAATAGGAATAGAGGAAGTCACAGCTTGGATTAAAGTTGCACGTCCTGCATAATAGAGAAGTTTGCCTTTCCAAGAAGCCAACTGACTATGCACCATATCTAGCAACTTCTTATAAGTAGCATGAGTACCCCTTGCATGAAGAAGAGGCATGCCTAGGTATTTGCCCAAGTCACTAGTTTGAGGAGAGCCACAAATACAACTAATCTCCTTAGCCACCTCATTCGGAGTATTAGAAGAGCAAAAAACTGCAGATTTTTCATAGTTTACAATTTGCCCTGAAGCTTGACAAAAAAGCTCCAAACAACCCTTCATAATGTGAGCTTGTTTAACAGAGGCTTCAGCAAGAAGAATAAGATCATCTGCAAAAAAGAGGTGGGAAACCATAGGCCCAGATTGAGAAGATTTAACAACTTTCCAACTACCGTTTTGAACCAAACCAAAACTGATGTGAGAAAGTTTTTCACCACACAACACAAACAAGTAGGGTGATAAGGGGTCCCCTTGCCTAATACCATTCATAGGAGTAAAAGAATCAGTGAGCTCCCCATTAATACAAATATGATACTTGACAGTAACACACAATGCATGATCAACCTCCTTCAAGCCACAGGCAAACCCAATTCAGCCAACACCACCTCAATAAAATGCCAATTCAATCTGTCATAAGCCTTAGAGAGATCAATTTTCCAAGCCATAAACCCTTTCTTGCCCTTAGAAACCTTGAACTTATGCATAAGCTCCAGGGCAATAAGAATGTTATATGTAATACGCCTTCTAGGCACAAAACTAACCTGGTCATGACTAACTAGAACATGCAAAATAGACCTCAATCTAGCCACAATGGTCTTGGAGATGACTTTATAAAGAGTTGAACAAAGACTGATGGGATGAAAATGCACCATAGTCTGGGGATTATCAACCTTAGGTACCAACGTGATAAGGGTATGATTCAACTTAGTAGGAAAGGAACACTTAATAAAAGCCTTGGTCACCATAGCATAAATATCAGTAGCACATTGGCCCCATTGGTTTTGATAAAAGCAAGCGGGAAAACCATCTATCCCAGGAGCTTTAAGACCTCCAATATCAAAGAGGCTTTCTTTAACTTCAGCTAACTCCACTTCCTTAGTTAAAAAATCCAAATCTTCGCCACTAATTATAGGGAAAAGATTAGGGATATCCAAGCCAGTAGTAGCCACTTGTGATTGAGTAAAGAGACACATAAAATGCTCAATAGCCAAGGCCTTAATACCTGGAGCATTTGCAACAACCATACCATCATTATTCCTTAAACTCTCAATTTTATTTCTTCGCCTTCGAATTACAGTGGTGAGATGAAAAATTCTACATTCCAAAATAGATGAGCAATAGGTTTTATGAACATTTAGAGTATTAAAATATTATTTTCCAGAATAGTGAAATAATTCCCCGCATAGGGGCATTTTGGTCATTTTGTTTAAAATTGCAAATCTATCCAATATATAGAATTGATTTTCTACTTTCAAAAAATTACATGAAAAATATATTAGGCCAACATTCATAGCACATAAACATGTTAATGATAGAGATAACTCTTTTTCACTCATTATTATAGGGCGTTGCCGAAATACTTAAAAAGAAAAAAGAAAAGAAGAAGTTAAAATCGTAATTTGAATCCGAAAAATTCTTTTTGCACCTTAAATTAATTAAAACATCATATTCTACAACAGTTTTAGGTATAGGGTTATTACAAAGACCCCATTTAAGATCACATTCTTCGAAATTTCCTCTTAATCTGTTTTCTAGAAATTAAAAATGTTTTGTTTAAGATGATAGATTTTTTAATGTAAGTTTCTTTCATTTGTGCAGGATAGAGGTGGAAATTTGGCTAATGGTGCTATTGCAAACCTTGTTGATGTACTTGGTTTTTGCGCAGCTTATGTTCCGGGCTACCCTATGAATGTTTCTGTGGACATTTCCATCTCCTGCACGTCAACTGCCAAGCTTCATGTAAGCACAGCTTTCGCGCTCCAATCCAACACCCATTTCCCCACGCACCCCTTGTAGGCAAGTCCTTACTTAGTTGTTCGCATGTTCAACTTGACAAGCGAGTCATGGAACACCATACTCGACAATGACCAATCGAACAACTAAGTAAGGACTCGACAATATTGCCCCTCAAATTGGTACTAAGACGTTTCGCATGCCCAACTTAGCAAGCGAGTCACGAAACACCATACCCTCGTCATTTAAGCTAACCATTACGAGCTTCATAATTTTGTTTATTTTTGTGTGAAATTGCAGGATGAGTTAGAGATAACTTCAAGACTGTTAGGACGGATAGGACGTTACTCTGGAACAATTGTCATTTTGAGAAATAAAACAACTGGGGAGATAATAGCTGAAGGTCGACAGTCATTCTTTTCTTCCCATCCCATTGCCAAACTCTGAGTTCTTTTTTCACATATTTTTTGCACTCAGAATTAAGTTTTTACACACAGTGACACATGAGGAGTGGAAGAGAGTTTGTAGTTGATAATATACTAGTTTTTATTTTTTAAAGAGTGTAAAATATGTTTGTGTACAAATTTAGGCATCACAACAATGCAGTTCTTTTCTTCTTCTCGTTCTATAGTAAAGTCGGCGTCGTTGTCTTCAAACTAAAACTGACCTACACCGAACCTTCTGTTCAGTGAATTGAAGGCTTCGGTTTTCCGTAGTGGCGGGCTGTTATGGCCTATCGATTTGTCTTGGTTCGGTGACCCACCCTTTGTTCTTACCTTTTTCTAACATATCAAGGTTAAAAATCAAGTTGGATTTGAGTGGATTCGAATTAGTTCAACCCGAGTTGTACCCCTAACTTTCTTTTTTTTGTTAGAGAGCATGGCAAAGCCAAAGACAAACAAAAGAAGAAACTAACAAATCACAGCCCTATCTTGGGCATTTCCTAACTCATCGAGCAAAATGCTTAAGATGGAGTTAGAAGCAGACTCATAGAGGTGAAGACCCAAAGATAAACCATGCCCTTGTTTTGCTCCTTATACACATGGCATACATCGCATCTCCAATACAAATGACAACAGGCAGGTCAGGGACCGAGTATGAAGATACCATCCCTGCCTCAGTTTCCGATATGAATATTCGGGGAATCCTTGTCCCTGTCTTTGGGATGGTATCCCTAACTTGGCCCATGACATGACCTGCCCCGAATTCCTCGGAACCCGGGATGAATCCTGTGGAATTCCCGACATCACACCGATGTCGGGCTCACTTTTGAACTAAATCCTCTTTTCCAAATTTAAGGAAAAAGAGTACGAGACTTTATGCCAAAATTTCGGCAAAGTCTCCCTGTAAATTGAGCATTTCCCAAACTTTTAACTTGCAACAAAAACACATTTTAATATCCACAACTGGCAGCATGCACACTGTAATAACATGCAATTCACATAAACGGCTTCCGGCCTTCAAATAATCCGAAACAGAAACACCAGCCATGCTCTTGAATCAAATAAGGAAATGAAACGATGCAATTAGTGAAATCAAACTAATTATGCAAGCTCATTGTAAACCACTTAATATAACTTTCTGATTTCCATCATGAGATATTTAGCAACCAACCACAATCACAAGTAGATTAAGGACTCGGTCCAAATCTTCTAACAATCCAAAACGGTTTTCAAAACTATCTAGACCACAACCAACTTCATCCAAATACCAAAATAACTTTAGTTTGCGGCTGCACCCGGGTGGGACCCCATGCTACATACGTACCCTTACTAAAGGATCAAGCCACACGTAGTTCTTTCAACAAAATTCCCGGTTCCAATAACATACAATCAATTACAACAATACAAAATAATAAATTCTAGAATTATTCCTTTCCCTTTTAATTTAAATCACAACACACCAGCCATAATTCTTTTTAAGCATCAATCTTTCCCCGATATAGTACAATAATCCTTTTTCCCTATTCTTTTACCACACGCCAGAATTCTCTAACGCCATGTGTGATAATCCATAACAAATCACAGTGTCTCACATGCCGGAAATTCCAACGCCACGTGTGAGACCTAACAATCACATAATCTTCTCATACGCCGGAAATTCCAATGTCACATATGGGAAGTGTCTCACATGCCAGAAATTCCAACGCCACGTGTGAGACATAACAATCACATAATCTTCTCATACGCCGGAAATTCCAATGCCACGTGTGAGACCTAACAATCACATAATCTTCCCATGTGCCAGAAATTCCAAAGCCACGTATGGGAAGTGTCTCACACGCCTGAAATTCCAACGCCACGTGTGAGACCTAACAATCACATAATCTTCCCATACATCGGAAATTCCAACGCCACGTATGGGAAGTCCAGTATATGAAGGATGGTACTCAACATATATAATCCGTATTCCGAATAATTATAAGTTTCAAATATCACAATAATAATAGAGATACTCACAATTTAGCGATACAAGTCTATAGTAGAATGCAACATAATTTAATCAAATAATATTAATTAATGATAAGCAACAACCTTTAAAGGAAATCCCATATCGAACCAATTTCTAATTTAAACTCAAATAACAATTAAGACTCGTTTACAAGGTTATCCTACTTACTTTCGAAGGGTAAAACTACCTCGAAAGACTCACGGTCAACCGAGGGGTCAAACTATCCAAACTTGGTCAACTGGGCCCACAGGGCCCACGACCTCCGTTTCACGATCCGGAAGTTTCTAAGGGTTCCACAACGTCTAGGATATACGTCCAGCAAGTGTGGTCTGAAGCGGACGGTCGGATTGCTTACGATGGGATCGTCATCGTAAAACGCAAACATTAAGTTATTGAATCGGAACATCCGGGACTCTGAACCACGATCCGTGAATTCCTACATAATCCTAGGAATGCCTAGATTAACATATATTAAATTCAAGAAATCAATTGGAGCCACTTTTGTTCTTGCACTTACCCCGAAAAACAAGCGGAAAAGGCCGGAATTTCACTTTGAAATCCGGCTAAAACCTAAATTCTAAATCGAGTTTCTAAACACAACTATCATCCAATTCCTACACAACAGGCAGCTAGAGCGTGAAGAATAAGTGAGAAATCGTACCTTGGTTGCCAGAGATGGTGGCCGGAATCGGCCATAGCGACGCCATGAATAATCGGAGAAATCAGTCGATATCTCTGGTGAATCTCGAGCACTCCGGCCTGGAAAAGGGGTGGGTTGTGACCGTGGCGTCGAGATGAAGCGAATGGGACCGGTTTCGGCCCTTGCCGTGGCCGAAACTGAGAGAATCAAAGAGAGAGAGAGAGAGTCACGAAGTCGGGGAGAGAAATAGATGAGAGAGGGGGATGTGCGCGGGGAAAGAGAGAGATGAAAGAGGGGCTGTGCACGGGGAGAGAGAGAGATATATATATATATATATATCAGGTTTTTATCGAGCTCTTTTCGGAATAATTACGATTCTACCACTGGTGATGTTTTGTTCTTAACTTGTTCACAGTTAAGATTTTTGTTAATTACCTACGTGGCAAGCTTGGGTCCCACCTATTTGCTTATTTATATCTTCGTTGAAGGGTATTTTTGGGGCATTGATGTCTTTCGCAAGTATTGCTGTTAAAAACTTATGCCACATTTTCTGCAAGTTTGGCCTTGAAGACACCAATTGTTTGAAAATACCCTTCAACTGCCACATCAAAAGAAGTGAATAGGTAGGACCTAGGCCTGTTACGTAGGCAATTAATGAAAATTTTGATGGTGAAGTTAACGCTGGAATCAAATTGCAAAAAATTGAAAAGTTTAGGTTACTTGATTGTTAAAATTGAGAGTTTAGGGGTCAACATACCTTAAGGGTGAAAGTTTAGGCCTTGTTTGGTATGCTTCACTAGACTGGACTGGGTTAATAGCACTCGAAACCCTTATTTGGTAAGAGACGGGACTAACTTAAATGAGATTGTATAGTCCAATAGTGAAAAAAAGCCTCACTCGCTCGTCTAATACAGTGAGCCTGAAAAGTGGTTCGCTAAATAGAACATGTAAGTCCGACACCTCCCTTTAAAAAATATCATAATTTTATTTGTTTTCTTTTAATTATTGTTTTAGATCTTTGAATGGGGGGTTTTTGTTTTTGGAGCATTTATTTTTTATAGATAAAAATTCTTAATTAAATTTAAATATTACAATAATTATTTTGATATTGCATTTGGACAATCAAACTATAGTAATTTATAAATGTTTGATATTTTTTTGATATTGAAATAAGTTTAATAATGCATGATGTGATGCTTTCTTTATCACAAGCAATTTTTACCTTGTCAAATTATATTTTTCAGTTTGAAGTCAAAAGTCAACTATACAAAAATTATACTTATATATATACATATATATATATATATAAATTTAATTATTGTTTTACTTGGTCCCTGAAAAACCTAGAATTATATAGAGTGAGCTTAGCTCCTTTAACAATGTTTCAACCAACTAAGATTAATCTTGAGAAGCCAAAAAACAAATATCATAATTTTATTCTTCTTTAAAAAAAATAAAAATGATTTGTTTTCTTTTTATTATTGTTTTAAATTTTTTTTTTTTGCCAGATATTGTTATAAATCTTTGAATTGGGTTTCTTTATAGCATTTATTTATCTTTTAGGTCAAAAACCCCAATTATATTTAAATATTATAAGAATTTTTTTTAGTTCGACACAGCACCAAACATAGGTCTTCACTATTTTTATAATCTAGCTTCTTCTTCCGATGCAGCACCAAACGTATGTCAGTACTTTATTTAGCTTAGGCCAATCCGAGCTAATCCGAGACAGTACCAGGATTTAGTCCAGTTCATGATAGTCTGCCGTGTCAAACGACCTCTTAAGGTACTAAATTGAGATTAACCCAAAACAATAAGTCCATAGCTTCACCATCTTACAAAGTTTAGTGTAACTGTTTAATTGTTATATTATATTCTATTATACATTTATTAATTAAAAACAAATACATCACTTATTGAGCCGGGTTTAGGAATGAGATTAGCAATACCATCCCTGTTTTCCACCTGAAATCTTCCCTCGTTAGGATCAGGGACTTGACCCAACGGGGATTTCTCCAGTCACGGTTCAGTAAAACCTTGCAATCTTCAATCAAGCAAAGGAGGGGTGAGACTGCTTACAAGTCTTAGTAATCAAATAAACAACATACATGGAATCACCTTCGATATAAAGGGACCTAATGCGCTTAGTACAAGTCATCTACAACCCTCTAAAGAGACTCCATAACTCAGTCTCAATCATATTTCCAGTCCCAAGATTAGCAGAAAACCCACATATCCATGTTCCACTAGAGTCCCTTAGCAGACCAACATCAATTACAATGGAGGACTCCAGTGGATTTGAATGACTTCTCTTGTAGGCTTAATATTAATAACAATATTAATCTTAAACTACTCACTAGCAGACTGCAGAATCGTGTGTGAGATGAGGATATGGCAGAGGCTCATAACCAGGTTTTTAAATGGAATTACATCTCCATTTCCAACAATGCCACAGAGAAGCAGTGAACAATGCTGCAGAATAGTGTGCTCCACCGTAGTCTCAGGAAGTTCACAAAACAATATTGAGTTGTGGCCCATGATAGTCCAGGGGCCCATCATTTGGCAACAATATGCTCTTTGCATTGCGATGTTGATTTTATAATACAAATTTATAAATAAACCCAATCTTAGACATGTATTTATAAAAAAATCCAAGTACTATTTAAACATAGAAACACACCCAAAAAGTTGACTTTGGGTTTTTTTATAATTTCAACCCCTATTTTGAGTGTTTTAGTGAAACTTCCATTTTATAATGGTCGAAGACTCGAAGCAATGCCCGTCCCCGTTCTTTCTTTATTATTATTTTATTATCAATTATTTATTAATATTATTTTGGGTATGCATCACGCGTCTTTTTATATGTCTAAGTTCACATTGTCAACGGTAAGGCACATTTCACTTTAATGCCAGTCTACCCTGTCCGGCTGATTCTTTCAGTTTTGGATCCGAGCGAAGGTTCGGTAGGTAGGTGGGAAAGCAAATACAGAGATGAGGAAGGTGAACAAGTCTCTGGAGCTGACCCAGGACGAGTCAGAGGCCGTCTCGCAACTCATAATTCCAGCTACCCGATACGGCGAGTCGAGCTTCTACGATGCTTTCGCTCTTCGAGGCATCCGACTGGATCGAGTCGAACCCGGAGTACTCGTCGTCTGTTCCTTCAAGGTCCCTCCCCGCCTCACCGTGAGTCTTCTCGAAATTAATCACTTGAGCTACTTACACTTTTTTATCTTCTTTTTTAGTGTTTATAGGTTAGGTCCCTTAATTAACGTGGCTATTGAAAAGATTTTGTTTAATATAAGAGAGTTTTAAATGTAAGTTTTTAAATCGTTCGCAGGATAGAAGTGGAAATTTGGCTAATGGTGCAATTGCAAACCTTGTTGATATAGTTGGTGCTGCCGTAGCTTATGTTCCAGGCCTCTCTATGAATGTTTCTGTGGACATTTCCATCTCCTACATGTCAACAGCCAAACTTCATGTAAGTAAAGCTTTCCACTCCAGTCCCCATTTCTCTTTGATACATGTCTGGTTTAAATTGATTAGAAATAATTCCTTTAGTTTTTTCCCTTTTTACTTGAAAAATTTGGTTGCAAATAAAATGATTGGGAGAGGCACCAGTTCTTGTGTGCACTTTGCGTATACGGCAACACACTTAAATGGGTAGGACGAGAGTGTGTGTGGTTGTATGCTTGACCTGATTCGAACCCTAGAATTTCTCCAACCACTCTAGTTATTTAAGCTAACCCCAGCAGGCTTCATAACTTTGTATTTCATCTGGGCTATTATTATGTGTTTCTAGTTGAGCGATTTACCATAATTACTTGTCACGTATGTGTGGTGTATCCATCACATGCATATGATCTTTGTATCGTTCTAATTTTATCATGTGTCCGAGAAGAGACTTATAACATATATGATTATCTTTTTAATGTCAAATTGCAGGATGAGCTAGAGATAACTTCAAGAATGTTAGGACGAGTAGGAGGTTGTTCTGGAACAATAGTAATTTTGAGAAATAAAACAACTGGGGAAATTATAGCTGAAGGTCGACATTCATTGTTTCGTTCACATGTTGGTCTCATTCCCAAACTGTGAGTTTGTTTTGTCTTTCTGCAATTAATTGTTTTTAATTAAAAGCATGGCCAAGTTTTTGGGCTTAGAAGAACAGAGACCAAGTTATTGGCCCATATTCTTCTTTATTTCGCTTTTTTGTGACTTGACGCTAAATGTTGTAATCTTTAATTCAAAGAAAATGTTATTTGTACTCAAAATTAAGTTTCCACACTCTTGTGCGCAACAGTGACACAGGAAGAGTGCAAGTACTTCAGGCTGACAAGGCCTGTACCCAACTTAAATCAAGATGACGTCGTATTCAAATTCAAGAATGTTTTTACCTTTTTTTAACATATTCAATCGGGATTAAAAAAGCAAGTTGAATTCATGATTCGGGGCTTATAATTCAAGTGGTTAAGAGCATTTACCTATACACATATTTCCGCTAATATCGATTGTATCAACTCAAATATCTGATTTGGCTCAACCCGATTTATTTAAAAGCGAAACAATGTTGGGTTATGGCCCATGAGTGAGTTCGCAAATATCCAAATCTAATGCAACTATTGGAACCCGCAGTCCAGGCCTCAACGGTAGGCCCATCATTCCTCAGACGTAAACGATCACGTGCCGTCATTTTCGAGCCTGCAGCATGCTCTTTACATTGCGACGTTGATTTTCCAGTGGCCGGAGCGAGTCTTGAGAGAGATGGATCCGAACGACGAAGGTAAAATGGAGAGGGCGAAGAAGTTTCTGGGGCTGAGTCAGGACGAGTCCGAGGCCGTGTCGCGACTCGCCGTTCCAGAACGGCAAGCGGGCGAAGGGAAGAGCTTCTACGACACTTTCGCTCTTGCAGGCAACAGAGTCGTCCGAGTCGAACCCGGACTCATCGTCTGTAATTTCAAGGTCCCTCCCCGCCTCACTGTAAGTCACTCGTTTGGTTGTATTTGCAAGTACATTTTCGAATTAATTTCTTCAAAATTCAAATTGAAAATGGGTTCTTTAATTTCAGGCCACAATTTTGAGAAGAATTTTTGTTTTAAACTTAAAAATTTAGGTAATTTCAGCTGTAGCTTGATTATTTTTAGTTGGTAATTTGATATTATTTTGCTTAATTAGTTACTCCATGAAAGTTGTAACTCACGTTGTATTGAGATTTGTTCCACTAATTGCCTTGAGTTATATTTAACTATTAAAAGTTCTCGTCTTGTAGCTACTTCATGCATGAACAACCATTTCTCCTCACAATTTGAGGACAAATTTCAAATTTACAATTTAACCTATGCCCAATTGGGCTTATTTATTTTTTTTGGTTGTAGGGAGAAATCACTCGTTTATCCATAAGAGCAAATTAGTGTTCTTTAACTATTGAGTCTCTTCCCATAATGGCTAAAGTTTTTGAGTTGAATTATTTTGACGTTGTGCGAAGCTTAAACTTCTGCATTGCCCTTTTGAATATAATAAGGTGTTAATCATTCTAGACTAGGAAGGAGCTGAAAACCTCACTTTAACAGCCTCTGGTCACCTGAAGAAAGATAATTTGTGTATGCATTTCACAGCCCGAAATCGGGTCTTGGATGTGGGTTGAGCATGCCATAGACTTAGTTGAACCAAGTGCCTAGTACAACCATGTTTAACTTATGAGATCTCTCGACCAAGCAGCTTTGATTTTTGTGTTGGACACTTCTGTACAATTGGTATTTTTTTATGCCAAATATTTTATTTTGGTTCTTTAATTTGTTTGCAGGATAGAACTGGGAAGTTGGCCAGTGGGGCAATTGCAAACCTGGTTGATGTTGCCGGTATATCCGTAGATTTTGTTGAGGGTCTACCTATGAATGTTTCAGTGGACATGTCCATCTCCCATCTCTCAACTGCCAAGCTTGATGTAAGCAAAAGCCTTCCCCTCAAATCCTCATTTCTCTTTGACATTTAAGCAAGCCTCCCCAACAGATTTTCTCTTTGACATCAAATGTGGCTTCAATTGATCAGAAATAAGTCCATTCATATTTTTATTTGCAGAATGTGGTTGTTAAAATGGTCACCAATCCTAAAAAATATTGTGGTTATCACTCCCATGCATATAACACCTGATCTCTCTTGGCTATTCTTCTCTGTTTCTAGTGTTTTGGATCTTCTTGATTGGTGGTGAGCTACCACCACATTAATTGACGTTGGATGAGTGTGATTTAATTTACATGCTACAAGAATCGCAAAAATTAAACTCATCCAACTGCCGTTAATGTGGTAGCAATGCTCACCACCAATTAAGGGAGGTGAGCTAAAACGTTCGCTTGATACAAAATCTGCATTTAATATTTCTGACTTGCTATAACATTTGACTCTCTGTATCGTTCTAATTTTAGCGGATGCCCCGAAAGGACTATTAACATATGACCTCTCCTAACGTCAAAATTGCAGGATGAGTTAGAGATCATCTCAAAAAGGTTAGGGCAAAGAGGAGGTTACACTGGAACGTTGGTACTTGTGAGAAACAAAGCAACTGGTGAGATTATTGCTGAAGGTAGACTTTCAATGTTTCGTACACAAGCTTCTAGCAAACTCTGAGTCTTCCGCACATATAAATATGAATTATATCCGGATTAAAAGAACTGCTTGTGGGGGGTGGGGGAACAAGTTTGAATCTCCTTTGGGATTGCTTTCTATTTATAGTTGATTATTTTTTATTGATTAAAGATTCAGAATGTTGACAATGGTATGGATCAACGTTCACGGCGCAGTTGCTGGCCTTGGAAGGACAGAGACCAAATGACCAATTGGTTATTATTGGTCTATTCTTCCCCATTGTATTGTATTTATTATTCTTTATTGGCCTTCTATTGACATGGATGCTAAACTTTCTAATGTTTTATATAGGGAGTGTAAATGGTAGCTCTTGCCTAATTTGTGTTTTGTTTAATGGTGAACCATGCTTCAATGAATATGCTCTAATGAATATGCGAAAGTTGTATTCTTTTTAATATTAAAATGAAGAAACATAATCAAATCGTATGGTTTGCTATAGACAACTGACCATTCCCATTTCAATTAGGGATTTTTTTTATTATAAAATAAATAATTTATATAATAACAAGAAAGCATGAATGAAATTATATATATAGTAAAAGGTAGAGAAGTCATTTTGTATTTCATAATGAAAAGAAATAAGGGTGGAAGAAGTATCTATTTAAGAGTTCTAAAAACAATTTCAATATATTTAGAGTTTTTTTTTTTAATAATCTGTAAACTATTCAAAGTTCTCACTTCACAAATTTGATCTATCGTCCTTATCATCATATTTCATCAAAATTTTCGTTTTGGCCAAAAAGAAGGTAAAATTTTCGTTAAAACTAATTGCGCGTAATCACATGACAAGTAGGCCATTTACACTCAATTTACACTTTCACTTGACAAGAAAGGTATAACACTAATAGGGTGTTAGTTAGATTGACACATACCGTGGTTCTAAGTTCAAGTCCCAATAATACCTGTGTGCATGAACCATGCATGTGAGTTTCACCGCACCCTTCTTAACTTTGACAAATTTAAAAAAACGAAAGAATAAAGTATAACTATTAACACGTTATCTGCAAACACCAGTACAAATATGCCATTTGAACTGAAATGGACCGACTGTACGCTGATAATTACGAGAAACGGCCATGGATAAAAAATCAATGAACATTCAGATGTCCACCTTAAACCTCTATCTTTCGCCAAATTTACAGACCCACCTAACGCACTGTAAACAAAACAAGAGGGCAGTCGCCGTAATTTTCACAGGACAACATTTTACACCCGATTTTCGTCGTCACTCAGTCATCTGCTGACTGTGACTTTCTCTGCCGTCGCGCCACACACCATGAACTCTGCAATCCGCAGTTCTTATCTCACTCTTTCTCGAGACCGAAGCGTTCCGATACCCGAAACGCCGAAGCTACAACCTTTTCCGCGTTTCTTCGACTCGACGAACCGAAACAACCGATTCCGAGACGTTTCTTCCTGTAGCTCGCTGCTGAGAACTCGACTTCGGCATGACTCGGCTGAGTTCCGCACCTCTCTCTCGCACCGAGTTGGGGTTTCTTCCAAAAACGCTCAGTTTGATTCGTTTCCGGACGAGAACGAAGCTCAGGCGCCGAGTTTCGCTGAGTTCATCACCTCCGAGAGGGTCAAAGTGGTGGCGATGCTTGCTTTGGCTTTGGCTCTCTGTAACGCGGACCGGGTTGTGATGTCGGTGGCGATTGTACCGTTATCGCTCTCTAACGGTTGGAGCCGATCGTTTGCTGGTATTGTTCAGGTGATTTTGCTGCTCATATATTTTTTTAGCTGTTTGGTATATCTCTTTTAATTCTGGTTGAAGTAAAATTCTTCGAATTTACGATATCTAGAAGCACAAAAAGTTTGAATTTTGTAATGCCTTTCAGTTGAGGGACTGATCATATCTCTTTAATAAATTTGTTACAGAAATGAAAAATGCAAAATGAGTAATTTGCTTAGGTTGACTTCCAATCACCAAAGAGTTCACCAAAAATTATCTAACAAATAATTGGTGATTGATTTTACTGGGGAGTGGAGAAGCTGTTAAAATATCTGAAAATGTTCAATCTTTCGACTTAATGTACTGTCAGCAGTGCTATTATTTTAGCTAAAACAGTTTAACTCATGGGTTTTCAAGAAAATTGCTCTAAAAATTTCATTTCTATGAGAGTACATAGTCTAAAGTACTTGAAACTAATTGGAAAAATACCTTGTGGCAGTCGTCTTTCCTTTGGGGGTACCTCATATCTCCCATAGCTGGAGGGACTCTTGTGGACTATTATGGTGGTAAGGTAGTCATGGCCTGGGGAGTGGCTTTGTGGTCTTTAGCTACCTTTTTGACACCATGGGCTGCAGAGACTTCTCTATGGGCTCTCCTTGCCATGAGAGCTCTCCTCGGCATTGCAGAAGGAGTGGCTCTTCCTTCCATGAACAACATGGTAGCAAGGTAAGGATGGCCTACAAACTTGCTTTCTTTATTTTCAATTTACATTAAATCAATATACAAGATGTGCTTCCGAACAGGTTATTTTTTGGTTAACAGTAGGTGAAGATAAGAAGTTAATCGAAGTATCAACTTTTTGTTTCAGATGGTTTCCTCAAACTGAACGAGCCAGGGCTGTTGGGATTGCAATGGCTGGATTTCAGCTTGGAAGTTCAGTAGGACTCATGCTTTCTCCAATCCTCATGTCACAAGGTGGTATATTTGGACCATTTGTGATTTTTGGTTTATCCGGGTTTCTTTGGGTTTTGGTATGGTTATCTGCAACATCAAGTACTCCTGACCGAAATCCTCAGATATCAAAATATGAATTGGAGTACATATTGAATGAGCGGAAGAAGTCCTTCTTGGTAGAGAATAAACCTAAGACAACCAAAGTGATCCCTCCTTTCAGGCGCTTGCTTTCTAAACTGCCAACTTGGTCCCTAATAATTGCAAATGCCATGCATAGCTGGGTAATGCATATATCTCATGCCAGGTTATTCTACTCTGAGAATCATATTGTTATTGTCCCTTACATGCGTTGAATATATCATCATCTAAGTGGGGGCAAACTTTCTTTAGATAGTTCTTGTGTCCATTCATTTTTACATTTTACCCTTGTGTGGAAATTATATGTCTACACAAACTCATTATTGTTTTTTTACTTTTTTCAAATTG